CGGGCGAGGGCCGTGGGCAGGGCGGCTTTGCTGTCTCGGGAGTGGGCAGCTGGGACCCGTTCTGAGACGCTGCTCTGGCACTTGGGAGACACGCAGGGCTGTTAGGAGGGTGGCAGCACCTGGAGTTTGGACCTCACGTCACAGGGGCGGTCCTCCCCTTCCCCCCGCCCCCGCCTGCTAGGCAGACCGGTGCCATGAACCCATCATAGGAAGCACTCGGTCTAGGTGCTCTGACTTAGTGTCAGTCTCCCACTCCAGGCCCCACACCAAGGCCGTGTGGGCTCGGCTCCCTCAGGCGACCAGCCTGTGAGACAAGCTGACAGTCATGCTGAGCTGAGACCCAGGAGTCACTAATTAGTGACACACATAACGGTGCCAGCTACTTAACCCTCACCACAACGCTGTGAGGCACTAACAATCATATTGCCATTCTTAGACAAGGACATTCAGGCCCAGAGATGTTAAGGAATTTGCCCAAGGACACACAGCCTGGACCTAGTAGGGCTGTGCTCCCGGCTGAGCTCAATGCCAAAGATGGGGCCTCCTCCCTGTTGACAGTTGCTCCTCAGTCACATAGTACACCAAGATTTTATGGAAATTGGACTTGGGTTCTTATTTTTTAAATTTTATCTTATTGTTGAAACTATTACGGAGGTTCCTCTTTCCCCCACTCGTCCCCACTCCCACCCCCTACCCAGGCCTTCACCCCACTATTGTCTGTGTCCATGGGTTATGCATATATGCATACAAGTTCTTTGGTTAATCTCTTCCCGCCCCACCCTTCTCTCTGAGAATTCTGTCTGTTGCTTGCTTCTATGTCTCTGGATCTATTTTGTTTGTCAGTTTCTTTCTTTTAAAAATATATATTGTTATTGATTTCAGAGAGGAAGGGAGGGGGATAGAGAGATAGAAACATCAGTGATGAGAGAGAATCATTGATCAGCTGCCTCCTGCACGCTGGAGATTGAGCCTGCAACCCAGGCATGTGCCCTCACTGGCAATCGAATCATGACCTCTGGGTTCATAGGTCTACACTCAACCACTGAGCCACGCTGGCCGGGCATACCACAGCTTTTTTATCCACTCATCTACATGGGCACTTGGGCCGTTTCCAAATCTTAGCTAGTGTGTGGACTTGTGTTCTTTACAGAGGCAGCTTGGGGTGGTAGAAAGAATAGTTTTGGAGACTTGCTTTTCATTTACTGGCTCTGTCTGAGCCTCGGTGACCTCAACTGTAAACAGGACTAACAAGGATGATCTGTTATGTGCCGTCTGCCTCCTCAGTGAGTGGGAAGATTCCTTGTGGATGAAGCCAGCGTAGCTCCCAGGATGGCTCCAGGGCAGGGCTGTGGAGGGTTTACCCCTCAGCTTTCCATAACACTGCCGGCCTCCCCATCCCCATGGCAGGGTTTACGTGATGCCCAGCTCTGAGGAGCCAGTCATCTGGGAGTAGGAGGGACAGAGCTGAACAGCAGACCACAGGCCACCCGCGGTGGCCGAGGGCAACCAGGTGGGAGAGCCCGAGGCCAGGTCAGGGCCTTCAGCCTTGAGAAAGGCCTTACTTTCTAGTCTGGACCCTGGCGGAGGGGAGGGAAGGGCGCAGTGCCCCTCAGCACAGTCCACAGGCCAGGCTCAGGAATGGGGAGGAGGTGGCCCTGGCTGGCTTGCCAGGGCAGGAGAAGGAGGCCTCTTTCCATAAGAGCAGACAGTTGAGGGAAGGCATCTGGAACCTTCCTCACTGGGAGAGGGTGCTGGTTGGCTGGATGCTGCGCAGGTCTGCCCAGCGGTCCACAGTGGAGGCACAGAGCGCTGAGACCTGGGTTTTGAAAGCCCAGGCCTAAGAGAGCTCTGGGCAAGTAACTGCAATGCTCCTTTGTGCTGTCACCCCAAAAAGGTTTTAGCTTTCAGTGGGCTGGAGGGGGGTCCTGAGGTGCGGCCGTGCATTCTCACACTGCCTCCCGGTGACCTCTCCAGTCCCTGGGACCCACTCTTTCTACCAAAGACGGAGAGCACAGGTGCCCAGGCAGCCGGACCTGGGCTGCGGCTCCTCAGCATCTCCACCCCAGGCTCCCTGAGCGACTCCTTCCAGACCCTTACCCCGCACCCTAATCACACCAAGATGGAGGTCCCCCAATACAATTCAAGCCAAGATGCTTTTCAGGAAAACAATTGTAGCTCGTCCTGAACCCGAACTGAAAACCCTACTGCCCTGGCTGCCATCTGCCTTGTCCCAAAGCCTGGACTAGGTCCAGATTCCGCGAATGCATGCAGCTAGACATTTCGGATGTCAAATCACCGGCCAGAGCGCACCGGAAGCACTTCCAGTCGAGGCCAAGATGACGCCCTGCCCTCTCCCTGGAGAGGGAGAGGATCCCGGCGGCCACCCTGGCAGCTGCAGATATTTATAGCGCCTGGGGCCTGCTCCTAAGGCTCCTCATCTCCCTTAGTTCCGGCTGCAAATTCAAACCTGGGCCCCAAGAAGCCCAGGACTGTGTCTCTGGTAAAAATGGAATTGTCCTGCTCCGATATTAAAGCCCCTTCCCAGAGGGAGTGGGACAGGAAGTTGGGGGAAATGAATTCCTGACACACTTTCTTTGGATCTTTTTGGCTTTCAGTGCCTGCAAATACCTACAGCCCATCTCCGGGGGCCAATTACAGCCCAACTCCCTACACCCCCTCGCCTGCCCCTGCCTACACCCCCTCGCCTGCCCCCACCTATACCCCCTCCCCTG